GATAGTGTTCATCAGGTTTCTGTAATGTCATTATACCCCCTCTTTCCAATATTGTACTCTCTGGGAAGAAGTCATTATGTGTAGCCCATACTTACAGAGCGGGCCACACCTCCCTCCTGGATAGTGGAGTAGCTACATAAATTCTTCTGCATAAGAGATTTCTCCTTTCTTTCTCTGTTCTTTCCTGTTTGCTAACATAACCAGTCATCTACTTATATCAGTATGGGCCCATGAATATTTATTTCACACTTTGGTTTATAATCTGATACCACTTTATGTATCATCTTGCTCAAGTTGATCCAGCTGTGGACATTGGGGGCTCCTGCAGTTGGCTCCTGTGTTCCTTGGACATACTACTATCAATGTGTTTTCTATTTTTGTTTTTGTTTGCACTTTCTTATTTCTGTCCCTACAAGATGCCCCGGGCTTATCTAGTGTGTTTCTGGTCCTTGTCCTAGAATCTGTCATCTTTCCAAGGATCCCTGGTTCCTTTTATTGGAAAATGATATTGTCCAAGATCTGGACACTAGGTCTGTTTGTTGCTGCTGTGGTGTTGTTTCTTTTAGGCTCTTTTAGGTGACAGAGGAAAAAAAACCTGTCTATATGTATTTCTATAGGCAGTCATCTGTACCTGTAAGCAAACCGTGAATTCATACTGATGTCTTCAACTCTAATCCCCTTTATCATATGAGTTACTCTAGGTCCTCTTGTTATCTGTAAATTTCCATTCCAATAGAAATAAAGAAATTGGGCTTCTACCACCTGCCATTCTATTAGTTCTCCACTTCCAATACATCTGTGGGAGGATCAGAACTGTTCACTCACAACCCTGTGGTCAACAACCTATCAACTTGTATAGATGCAATGCTTTATCAATTAGAATACAGTGCTTATGTGCAGTTTCTTTGTCTTTAGTCTTTCAGATTCCACTAATTCCCAAAATTACTTAGGTTGGCACTTTCGCCTGCCTTCATTAGTGATGCTATCCCATACTTTTGTAATACAATTGGATTCATAGTCTGCACTCTTCCTGGGATCCTTCAACTTTCTAAATGAGATTTTTAAAAAATTTGCAAACATCAAAGTTCACTCTGTGTGCTGTAAAGTTCCACGGATTGTGACAAATGCATAATACCCTATATCTATTATGTATAATTCAAAATAACTTTAATACTCTGTGCTTCACCTATAGAGCCCTCCTCCCACACACACACACTTCACCCTGATACCTGGAAACCACTGGTAAATTTACTGGCTGTATAGTTTTCCCCCAGAATGTCAAATAATTAAAATCATATAATACAAACCTATTTAACTGGGTTTTTTTCACTTAGGGGCTTTTAGAATCTTTCAGCATTATTGTGGTTTGATAGTGCATTTCTTTCTATTGCTGAATAATATTCCAAAGTATGAATGCACCATAGTTTATTTAGCTGTTCACCTATTGAAAGGCATCTTGACCATTTCTGGGTTTTGGTAATTAGGAATAAAGCTGCTATTTACATTTATAAGGGGTGATGGCAATAGGTAGCGATGTTTAAATTATTTTTAACTTATTACAATAAAAGACACATTGTCATTTATTATGTTTAAAATACTCCCCCTGTCTTTGAACACACTTACCCCATTGTCCGTGCCACTTTCTGAAGCAGTTCTGGAAGTCCTCTTTCCTGCCTTTATGAGTTGTGATTAAAAAAAATAAGGTAAATGTTGCTGCCAAGTGCCATCCACCAGAAAGCAGGCTCATGAAAACATTATGGTGTGTCCTTTCCACCTTATTAACCAAATCTGGCACTGTGCAACTTCTGGCTCTTCCCCACAGTCTAAATGGCCGTGAAAGTTAAATGTTTTGAATCAGTTAAGGACATTGGGGTAGCTACCACAGCACCGCTAATCACTTCTACAACTGCTTTAGAAAGTGGCAAAAACAATGGGATAAGTGTGTTTAAAGAAAGGAAAAGTATTTTGAGAGAGATTAATGGTAATGTGTCTTTTATTGCAGTAAATTTAAAGAATTTAAATGTTCACTGTATTTTTTTAGCATACCTTGTATATGCAGGTTTATGTGTGAACCTAAGTTTTCAAATCGATTGAGTAAATACCCAGGAGTGTAGTTTCTGGGTTATATGAAAACATTGGTTAGCTTAGGGAGAAGTGGCCAAATTATCTTCCAAAGTGACTGTACCATTTTGCATTCCCACCAGCAAATATATGTACCCTGTATGGTGTGAATGTTCCATAGTTTGTTCAGCTGTTCACCTATTGAAAGATATCTTGGCGGTTTCGAGTTTTCAATAATCGGGAATAGAGCTGCTATTTACATGTACAAGGGGGTATTAATGACAATAGGCTGTGAACGTTCAAATTTTTAAAATTGTCACAATAAAAAACACATTGCCATTTATTCTCTTTAAGACACTGACCCTCTCTTTATTCTCTTTAAAATACTTCCCTAATAGATGAAGCCCAGGGTATATATACCCTGTGCATCCCTGGTTCCCACCAGAGATCCTATTGCTCTGACCCACCCCTTTTAACTCAGATCATGTTATTTCACAACAGGAAGAAAAACTCCCAGCCCATCTCCTTGGCTGCAGAAGGCATGGTCTGCATAAGAATAGGTAGTGACTAGGGCCCAGTGTCCATCCCATGGCTATAGGGGACACCTACAGCTGCGATCATTTTGCAATAAGGAAAGAATGTGCAGAGAGCACCCAAGGTACTTAGAATTCTCACTGCACAAAAGTAGTTCTATAGTATAGAAAAGGAGCTTCATAAACCAACACTCAGGCTGGACATAGATATAACCTAGATCCCAAGATTTCCTTGGATACACAGCAGGTGAGACAAATTAACCAGCAGAGTTTTCAAAGTATAAGTATGTGACATCAAAAAAAAGTTAAGATCTTCCCAATCTTTTCATTTGCCCACACTTATCCACAAAGATCCATGGAGCTTGTGCTGTGGGGCCAGTCACTGTGCTAGGCACTAGCGTCCCAGGATTCATATTACAAAGGAGACCAACGTGCCCACAAATCATCACTAGCCCAGGCAGTATGCACATTAACAAAGCAACACACATTGATTTTGGAGTGGATGATACAGATCTGGTTAGTAAAAAGGAAAAAGTTAAGTGACAATTTTGATGACAGCCTTTGCATCCAGGAACCAGGCCAGTCAACCTGAGGGGACGTAATTACTTTTTCAGGCTTATGTTAAATTACTGCAATGATCTTTCTGTAGATGATTTGAAAGAGGGGATGAATTGTCTTGTGTTTTTGAGTCTATTTTGGAGGGAAAGATGGCAGGAGGTAAAAGAAGATGCCCAGCAGTGGAGCAGCTCTGGGCAGAAAGAGAGGCAGGACAACATTTTTAATACAGGAGCAGCTGCACTCGGACTCACCAGTTTCCAAAGCTTCCCTGTCATTTGGAGAGACGAAAGTGCACATTTTAAGGACACAGTGGAATGCACGCGATTGATGGGTCAACACGGCTGGCTGGGCTGGTGATTTTGTAATTACAAAGCAGATTTTTTAGACAGAATGGTTACCCCAACTGTGTAATTAAGAGGATCGTTATGAAATGTTGCCGGGCTGTGCATCACCCTGGGGCTAGAGCTACCACATGGTTACAATAGAAAAATGTAGTCAGGCTTCATCATAAGGCCATTGCTAATTAATTGAAACAAATATTTGTAATAACAATTCCTATAGATGATTTATTTGCAACAGTTGAATGCTAAGAGAATCTTAATAGACAGATCTGATCAAGGGTGAAAATAGTGGAAAAAGAGGTATTGGGCCCCAGGTTAGAGAAAAACCAATTGGCCAGTTGAAGTTAGATGGTCTTGGTACAGTTTTAGGTGAATCCAGTGCCATCACACTGTTTAAGACTTTATTTTGTCCAGTTTATTTACCCCAGGAGGGATGAGGTAGATTGGAGATGTTCCAGAAACTAGAAAGAGTGATTTGAGTTGGAAAATAGCATGGAAGAGGAAGGTGAAAGAAGATAAGTGATTTATCCTGGGCTGTAAGTCTTCAAATTACATTCGTAAAGACTTTCAAAATTATGAGTGATTTTCTTCTTTTATTTCCCCAAGAATACAAATTAGCAACTTCTATCTTTCCTGAGTACAAAGAAGAAATACGCCTCAACCGCCAAATGTGAAATTTAGACTAAGCATAACTTTTGATGTTTTAGATTCTGAAACAGGAAACTACACAGTTATTTGAATTAATTTTCTCTACTACTTTAGAACTGCAGAGAGGCTATAAGTCCCAATGCAAGCCTCCTTCATGTTCTGTACAAGTTTTCATTTTTCTCTATATTATTGCGGACATCTTCTTTGTTGAAAATTATTATACAGCCTTTACTAGATAAAAGAACTACTTTGGAAAAAACATGGGCCAAATCATTAACAGAGGATGCAATCTCATGTGTCAGTCATAGGGTCAGTTCATAGACTCCATCTGAATCTACTTATGGCTTAGGAATGGGTTATAAATCCTTGGAGGCTGCTTCCAAAATTAGGATTCTAGAAAAAATTATTTACCTTATATGTCTGGTGTCCAATACTGTGCTCCCATACAATAGAGGTTCTCATGTTACTGGAGAGCACATGTAATATAATTACTCGGGGCTCTTGTTCAAAATGCAGATTAAATCAGAATCTCTAGGTAATAACTTCTCCAAGTAGTTTAGAAAACTCCTAGCCTTAGGCAACCAAATTAGTGATTGGCCTTGATGATATCTCCCTGGGATCAGCATCCTAGGAGAGCATGCAAAGATCTCAGGAATCAGTAGGATAGGGAATTCAGTCTGTATCTACCCAGCCAGCCAGGCTGTCACAGCATGGATAAAAAATGGCAAAGTCCTGCAGAAATGACCCTAGATGTTTCCTGTGCATCGCAATGTCTCACTGAGTGAGGGTGGAGGTTCTGTGAGAAGCTGGCACATCCATCACTCTCAGGGCCTAATTATGAATCATTTCATTCCAACAGCCTCTTTCCTTCTGCAGTGCTTCTGGTAAGGCAGGAGGGCTCAGCACTGGCGACAGTCAGAGGCAAGCAATACCCTCAGTGCTCCCAAAGCTGGATTCCTCCACTGTGATATGAAAACCCACAGAATATATCCAACACCTTCTTGGTTTGTGAGTGTTATTCATTGTTCTGTATTTATATTAAAACAAAGATGTATGTGTTATATTACAACATGAAAAACTCACATGAGCTTTTAAAAACAAATAAGAGATGTCAAAGAAATTTCTCTTCTAACCAAGTTCTGACAGAAGATCTAGAATTAGAGGGATGTGAATTGCCATCCTCAATTCAAGAAGAATTTTAAGTACCAGTGCACATAGGACTTTCTTCGATCACGGCACTACTGTATCTAGACACATGTGCCAGTGAAGTGCTTAAAAATGTGACTGATGAGACTGAGGAACTGAATTTTTAATTGCATTCAAGTTTAATTAATTTAGATATAGATAGCTACATGCGGCTACTGCATCAGACAGGTTTACAGAAAAAGTTTAGCTTTAGTCCCAATTTCTCTTGAAAAAAGTATTTGGAAATTAAAGATGCATTCAGGAAATGGAGCAGAGCATAAGGTTACTGTAGCATTTTTCCTCTATCAATCACCTTTCACTTCTCCTCCCAACCTTATATTTACCCAAAAACCCTTTCTCCAATCTGTGGAAAGACTGCACTGGGTCGAAAGACAGGTGCTATGTTTTGGCTGTGGTTTGTCCCCCAAGGGCTCCTGTGTTGGGATTTGTCCTCAGTACAGTAGTGCTGAGGTGGTGAACTAAGAGGTGGTGCCTCATGGGAGGTCCCTAGGTCATGCAGGGGGAGACGTGCCCTTGGAAGAGATTAAAGTGTGAGATCCTTGAGTTAGTTATTGAGAGAGGGCTGTTATAGAAGAACACACATGGCCACTCCTCAGCCTCTTTGGCTTCCTGTCTGGTGATGAGATCTCCTCCTGTCATGTGCACTATCCCTTGGTGTCATTTTCCTTGAAGGGCTGTTCCTGAGGGCACCCTCACTAAAGCCAGAACTATGCTATTTGGATAGGCATCCTCTACAACTGTGAGCTAAATAAACCTTATTTGTTTATAAGTACCCTGTCTCAAATATTTTCTTATATTAACACAAAAGGAACTCATAACAACCTACTTCTGTAGAAAACCAAAAAGTGAAGAACAAATGTAAGAAAGCCTGGAGACCCATTCTGGGTGTTTTGGGCCCCACAATAAAATTTTAGGAAATCTGGATGTAGGTATTTTCAAGTCCAACTCGGAAACAGAAACTAAGACTTGAAAGTGGGAAACATTTACTGTCCCAGTGACTTGGTGAATGAAACAAGAGTATCACTCTCAACCTCCAGCCACTGCAAGTTAGTGTCTGTAATGAACCCGTGTCCTTCTCAGGGGAAGATGATTGATTATTCTGCACTGGTCTGAGAGGTTGCTAAGATTTGAAAGCAAGACAATGTCCTTGTAATTTGCCTACATGTATCATATGATTTACAAATTCCCCTCGACCCAGTAATTCCTGTGCTAGTAATTTATTCAAAGCAATTTCTAGGGATATATAAACAATGTTATACTAAGTAAAAAAGGGCATAAAATTACATTTATTATATACATACAAATGTATGTATATTGATTTCAAGAGTTTTTTTAATAAGCATGTTTATGCCCAATATATTAGAAGAAGATATACAGTAATTATCTTTGAGTGGTAGGGTTTATTTTAGTTTTCTACTTTATGTTTTGAGTATTTTTAACTATTCTTTAATAAGTATTACTGTTATCATTGAGAAAACCAATGATTTATAAACACCAGCACCTGATTTATTAAGAATTACTGAATACCTTGTATTTGGTGAAACCTCACAGCCTCCTTTTCACTATCGTGGACATATATTGGCATGCTCTGGTCCTACCTTCAGAGAGCATGAAATTTTTAAAACCACACTTATTTTTTGTGTAAGTTTTCTCTAACGAGGGCCCTGCACAGAGGCAGGCTAATGCCAATGAGCAATAAATGGATAGCCTGACTGGGGTGGTCTTTGTGGGAAGAAACTGCTTAGAGATCTTTTGTAATAAAAAGGAACTGAGACTGCACTGGCTAACTATAGTCAGAATGTGCAGCCTCGTAGGTGCCTGGTGAAAAAAGTGGTGCCTCATAAAGAGGTGATTTCTAAGGTAAAAATATCTCAATGGGCTCTTTGGCAACAGCAACGTAATCATATTCAGAGTGAAATACAAACCAGCAAAACACATGCAGAAGCTGTATAGGAAGTCACCCTCACAAGGACCTTCCAAAGTAGAGGCAAATGCCAAGATCTCAAGAATACCTAATTCCTAACCACAGACATTCCATTCCAAGCTCATCTTTCCCCTAGGTGGCTTTAGGTTGAAGCTGATGGGCTTTGTTTTTTGAAGCAATTACTGATAGAATTGGGCTTTTGAATGCAGTTGCTGATAGAATGCAGCTTAGAACTAAGCTGTGGTTTCTAAGGTGTTGAGAGAGCCCATTACCTAAGTGAGCCCTCACTGACAGATGCAGGATTGGAGGAGAACAGGGCATGCTGTTGTGATGTGCTGCTCCCACTGAGAGCACACTGCTTTAGAGGCAGGACACGTAGCATTGCATTATACATCTCCCAGCTTGCCACATCCTGTTACGTTGCATCCCATCAGCCTAAACCATGAGGAGGCGAATACAACCTGGGGTGACATGTAGCACTTTGTAATGCATCGTAGCATTTAAATCTACATGAGCCAAGTTGCACACATCGGCATGGACACTAGATGCTCGTTATTCAGAGAATATGATCTAATGTGCAGGAACTGCCGGCTGAGGGCGTAAAATTCGTCAAGGGACAGCAATGGTGTCACACTCCCACTGAGAGCTGAAGTTCATCCACTGCACTCGCTGAATTATCACTGTCGCTGAGAAATTCCACAACCACTGGGTTCTTAAGAGAAAGGATCTGACAAATGAAAATATTTCAAACTTGAAGGAAGAGGATGAGGCCTTCAATGCACTGTGGGATGGGTCATGCCTTAAGAAACTCTTCAAATCTCAATGCTGATGGATATCAAAGACAAGTGACTTGTGCAGTTAAGACTGGATTCATAGTTGTCACCTCAACTCAGAATAAAGCTAAGTGACTTACTTTGGGTTTAAACTTATCATCTTGTTATCATCACTCTTCTAACTAATAGATTTGTGTACATGAGACTTGTCAGGGGTGCTGTGGTGATGAATGATAACAGAACAAATGACCCAAGGCTCTAAAGCCAATCTTTCACTATAGATAAAGATTTGACGGTGGAATTCTTAGTCTTCACCTCCAGATGCTCCCTGAATGACTGGGACCCCACAGTCATGGGAGACCTTATGTTTTCTAAACCCAACCCACTGGGCAACAAGGCAACATCTAACTCTCCAAGACAGGGAAGTACTGATGTCATGTTCAAAGCAGCCCAGGGTTCCTCACTGGTCCCTATTTAAAAGGGGGGATTATTGTGAGGAGAGTGTTAGGAGTTTATGACCTCCCTCTGGATGACAAGTGCTTCCTTGTAGTATATCCTTTTGAAAAATCTGTGTTCTGAGGTTTTCTTGGTCCAGTCAGAGAGCAAGGAAACGTCTGAGAAGAGAAATCAGGACTGTATTTCTCAGGAGACTTTTTGCTTACATGGGATTGGAACTCTGTGATGGATAAATGGCATATACAATGCCTGGGGGTAGCAGGCCAGGGCCATGGCCATGTCAGGGACACTTTACCTTTCATAGCTTCCTCAAGAGGTTAAATTCTTATCTTACTCTTCAGCCAAAACTATTTCGTTAGCAGTGACACAAACCCACTCACTCAAAGTAGCTTAAGAAAAAAAATGCAGGTAGACCTGGCCAGATGCAGACCTGGAAAGCATCTGAGCCAAGTCAGCTCCTCTCTGCCTTCACTTGGTCCCTCTCTCTCTCTCTGAAATCACATGGCCACTCATCTTCACTGTCCAGCATAAGCGCCACCCCCTTACCCCCCGCCACCTCTCCATGTGCACATAGAGTAACATGGCTACCTCAGTCCATTTTATTTCTCCTCAGTTGAAGTGACTGGCTAAAAAAAATTCCCAGAAGACTTAGGCTGGGTCTACCCAAATCCAATCAGCATTGGTCCCCTGTAGTCCAGTCAGAGCATTCAGGGTAGCCTCGATGTCAGGGTAGCGTCATGTCTTAGTTACTACTCTCTCATTGCTGAGACAAAATACTTGATGCCCTGAATTAAGGAAAGAAAAGTTTATTTAGCTCACAGCTCCATACCCTCTCTTCCTCAAGCTCAGGATGTTTACAAAGTGAGGACTCTGGCCCCCTGCTAGATGGCTTAGTTAAACTTCTAAAATTCTCTAGTTGACACTATGAACAACATCCTAGAGTGATAAAGGCATGTCCTTTACACCCCTGGATACTTAGTTAAGCCTCTATATTTCAAGCTGACACAATGAATAAACCATAATGGCCCAATGGCAAGGTGCAGCAGCGCACACACAGCTATTGTCACCCATTCCTGTGACAATGGAAGGTCCTCAGGAAGGGATACTGTAGGCTGGCCAAGCATCTAAAATGCCTGTATTTTAGGCATCAGCATTCCCACAGTTCTATCAGTCTTCCTTTCCCAACCTCTTGATTTGTGTTAGCTGCATTATTGTTTTTATATTGTTCATATTTATAATTAATTAAAATAATTAAATCTTTCTCACTCCTGTTTCTCTCCACTCTGATTACATTCTCCATCTCCTCTTCCAACCAAAACTTCACACAAATCATGGTATAGTGAGAGAGAATAGGCTTGGGAGTCTGAAAGACTTGCTTTCAAATGCTCATCCAGTAATTACTCTCTATTATCTTGATTAACAAGAATAAATCTCAACTTCTTCCTAAGAATAGTAGGAACGGCATCTGTCCCAAGGGAGTGGTTTCGAGGAAGAATGACTCATTTTGGAAAGAATTCTCTAACTTCCGAATCTTCTACTTCTTCACTTTCCATTTATTCCACATTCAATTATTTCTGGCTTTTGCTTCTACCAGTCCCTTGAAATGTTTTCATTGAGGTCAACTTTGCCTTCTCTGCTGCTAATATGTGTCCTAAACATGTACATTCTCTTTTTAGTATTGGTGCTGTTCACCACTCTTTTCCATTCTTGAAAATGTTCTTTCTATACTTCTATAATAACATAATTATTCTGTTTTTATAAATCCATATTGGTTTACTTAAAGTTATTTTAATATATAAAGGAACAAAAATAAACATTTGTATCCTCACCAAAAGTTACTATTGACGTTTGTCTCTTTTTATTCTTTTTCTTTATAAAATGTACTCCATCATTTTGTGCAAATTATTACTTGATCATGATATAAATTCAATTAACATGGAAATGTAAAAAAAAAAATTAAATTTAAAACTGCCCATCCCGGTACCAGAGAAAAACAAAAAAAAAAAAAAAAAAAAAAAAAAAAAAACTGCCCAAATTCCTCTATCCTTGAAATTTTTTAATAAGAATGATGGAGCACAACAAAAACTCTTTGATATCCAAAGCTTCTTTTAAAAATGTAGACATGGATTTGCAAAAATAATCATGAACACATATTTTTTATGAATATATATTTAAATGGGTTTATATTCTAGATACTATTTTCAATCAAAATAATTAAACTTAATTTCACCTTATCTGAATACATGTGAAACAGAAAAACTGTTGAACTTGTAATAAAGATTTCATTGTACTGCCATAGGAACAATTTCTAAAAGATCCCTCTAAAATCAATAAAAGTTTATGAAAAATATTAGGAGGGTAGAATCATTACACTTCTATTTCAGGCACTGGCACTCTCACAGTTTGTCAATCTTCCTTCCCCTACATCTCAATCTGTATGAGCTGCACTATTGTTTTTATATTGTTCACATTTAATAGCTTTCAGTTTAATATCTGTATATGGTTACTTGAAAATCTGATTGGGTTCTACATCTGGCTTTATATTCAAATGCATTTTATGCTCACTACAAGTCCTTTTATCATGGAAGGTCCATGCCTGAGTTCTTTATTTTAATTGATCTCAATGTGGCATTTTGTTCCCTGCAGTTGTTTCAGAAGCACTCGTGGAGCTACACTCTTTGAGTTATTTCATGTGTTGAGAAGGGCTGTCTGAGGCCTTTCACTTGAAAGCTTACTAGATAATGTCACATTCATGGGTCACACTTTCTCTTACAACTTTGATGATGTTCCTCCTTTGTCTTCTAGCACTGAGTGCACCTGTGTGAAAGACTGGAGTCACCTTTATTTACTGTCACTGACTGAATGACCAAAAATTCTCACTTTATCTGTGCTATGAACTATTGAGACAATATCTATAAAATACTGAGGATAGAACCAGTACGTATCTACAAATTATGGCTTAAAAGCTAAATCCAGCCTACAAACTGTTTTTGTAAATGAAGTTTTATTGGCATACAGCTGTGTTCACTCACTGACAATCATCTGTGGCTACTTTCCTGCCTCAACGGTAGAGTTGACTACTGGTGACAGAGACCACATGGTCTGCCAGTCCTGAACTATTTGCTGTTTCTTTGTATAAAATGTTTACCAACCCTAACCTCCAACACACACTCACTCAGTCCTATGGAATAAGAAAGACTGGCTATTGAAAGGGACTTTACACTTCACTTTCTAGTGTAAACTTTGTTTTCTGCAGAAGCAGTTTCTAAAACACATTAAGACATGTGCCCTGCCAACCTTATGTACCTCCATAGACACGTAGTTGACATGTATTTCATAACTTCCATAGTATTCTTTCAAAGTTAAGCTTACATCTGTGTCCAGAGGCCATCCCATAATCGAAGCAGAATAATGCTTCAATTTAAAACTACCACATTCAGAAACTTGCCCTATTACCTTTACATGGCCAGATGGACCATGCCCATTTGCAAATAACCAATCAATATCAACTATAGATGGCACTTTAATAGTGAGACTAGAGGGAGGAAAAGTGACATTGGTTCTCATTTGAGTGAAGCTCAAGAAAATGAAATGGGAAGTCTATTAAATATAATTTTGAAATGGTCCGTGTTTTGAAAGAGTTTTGCTGCTGCTGCTGCTGCTATTAATTTGAAATGTACTTGAGAAGAACTCATTCAGTCCTTCTTCTTGGGGAATGGGCAGTTTTCTGCATCAGGAATACCTGTAGAGATCATTTCTGGTTTTGCGAATTGCCACCTACATTCACTATCTCTCATGTACCAATTTGTGGGAAAGGATGAGGGTAGAGAGATAGGAGAAAGGATTAATAGTCTGCTTCCCAGTGACTAGGAATGTTGAGAACAGATATTTAACAGAGTGTGAGATAAGGAATCTCTACAACTTATGTATGTTTGTACATGGAAGATATTATCAATATACCAGTCTTTCAGATATCCACTTGCTTTAGGTCAGTAAAAATTAGAGGTAGAATTTTACTTAACTCTACTCTTTGCAGCCTGAAGTATTGGTAGGCTAGTTAACACAAAACACATCTTGGGATAGGCACATATTTGTAATTTATATAAAGGGCTGAAGTATTGGTTATTCTATTTCTTCCTCCATGAATAACAGAGTAAGCATTTATAAACTTCCTAAATATTACAAACTTATTATCAACAGACCTAGAATATGTGGCCTTGGGCAAGTTTATTTACCTGTGATTAGTTTCCTGATTTTTTAAGATGGAGAAATAATAATAAAAACTAATCTTTGTCAGGCACTGACTTTGTACCAGGTACTGTTATAATGCTTTTCATGGGTTAGCTCATTCAATTTTTACAATTGTATGAGATGCATTCTATTATTATGCTCCTTTGATGAGGCAAGTGAGCAATACAGAGATTCACACCATTACTAAGAGGCAAACCTAGATTTAAACTTGGCAGTGTGTCTCCAATACTGCTGTGATTAATAGTAAGCAAATTACTTAAGTGCTTTGTATATAGAAAGGATTCTAGAAGTTCAGGTTGTCTACCATAATGATGATGATTGTGATGAAGAAAAATAGTCAAAAAAAAAAAAAACCTGATTTAGAGGAGGTGTGATTATAATCCCTGAAAGGCTTCTGGCTCCAAGCAAACTATT